GGACGTGGATGAGCCGCGCTCACCCGACTGCTGCGCCTCACTTTTCTGAACGTCTTTAACAAATTGCTGGTCCCCTTTTGCTTGCCTTACCGGGCCTGGCGACCTCTTGAGGAGCGGTGCGACGGCGTGGACCGTCAGGCTGCTGAGGAGGCCGTGGCTGCACGGGATGTCCTGAGGATTTTTTTTTTGCGTTTCAGGACTACTGTAGAGAAGAGGACATTTCATGCCTCCTCCACGTCCAGGAGAGTAAATGGAGGGATCGCAGTTGTGGGATCGCACTTCACGAGTGTCTGCGCTCGTTGATCGCATCGACGGCGCACTCTGTGTGTCTTCGACCATTGCCGAAGCATCCCGCCGTTTTTCTTTCGGTGAACGGGAAAATCCACTGACACGCCGAGGGGGTGGTGGGGGATGCTGCAGCGAGGAACGCTTTAAAGGCCCTGCAATCAGGGAGCGCTGCTTGCAAGGATCCCGCAGCACTTGGGATTTTGCTCGCTTCTAATTTCTGCTGGCTGTCTGTTGGTTGGCGCTGTTTGCCGGAGGGCGTCTTGGCCCGTGCGCAACCGTCAATGACTCTGCTTCTGTGTGTGGCCTCAGAGTGCTTGAGCCGTTGTGGACGGTGAGAGTAATTACTGTGGGGGTCACGACGACGCTGATGTGTTACACTGTGGCTGGTGGCGCCACCCACTCCTCTGCCACGTCCTGTTTTGGTGGTTTTTAGATTTTACTTTGATTTCTTGCACACAAACACACTCAGGCTACGAAGGAAGCTACGACCAAGCGCTAAACGCTACTGTGAAATCAAACGTCTCCGAAAGGACCAACAGCACACACACCGCCCACACACACATATTTACATGCACTCACGTGTTGCTGCAGTGAAGGCACCCCGCACACACAACCGTCGCCGTGTGACCGGATCCAGCGGAAGGAGGAGGGAAGGAAGAGAGGGTGAGCCGCAGAGGCCCAACATGTCCCGGCACCTCTTTTATTCAGCGGTGCTGCTCCTCCTTGTCGTGATGATGTGCTGCGGCAGTTGAGGAGCAACGCTTGCAAAGGAGAATGATGGCGAGATTGGTTTACGACGTGTTCAGGAGCCGGCGGGAGTCGATCTATTTGTGCTGCAGATGACGCTGGTGCAGCCGAAAGATGGGACTGTTCCAGTTACGACGAGGGATTCATTTGCTTCACCCTCACTCGTCAGTGCTGGTGGAGTAATTGCAGCTTTCGCCGAGGGTCACATGGATGCCGAATATCAAGGTGGTCAATTAAGTAAGCCCTTTTCTTTTGATGTGGTTGCGGGATACTTTGACTCTGCGTGGGATTGGTTCACTGTTGTTGGTGAGGTCAATAAAAGGATGCATGGAGGGCACACACTGTGCTTGGTGCAGCGGAGGGAGAGGAGAGTTTGGGTGTTGTGCTCCGCCCCACAACAATCACGAAGGGCGACGGAGTGTTTCCTCTTGCGGGAGGCTCTGATGTGTCCTACGAAGGTGGGTGTTGGAGGGAGGGCGGCTTGGAGCCGAAACTGGTTGTGGGTGATGTCACGAATCCCACGGGTGGCAGGCAGAGTGGACGGATCGAATGGGCCGACCCCAAACCACTCCCGAAACGGATCTCTTCTGCTTCTCACGAAGGTGAATGGACGGAGTTCATTGCTTCTGGTGGCGCAGGTGTTGTGATGGAAGATGGCACCATTGTGTTTCCTCTGATGGCGGTGAATGAGGCAGAAGACGTTTGCTCCATGATCATTTGCTCGACGGACAGCGGCAGTGCCTGGGCGCTCTCTGAGGACATTTCCCCTGCGGAATGCCTTAACCCCCGCGTCACAGAATGGGAGGGATCACTTCTCATGATTGTTGACTGCGAGAGTGGCCAGAGGGTGTGCGAGTCGCGTGACATGGGGACAACGTGGACGGAGGCCATCGGGACACTCTCAGTCGTGTGGGTCAACGCACGATCAGGAGTCTCTCAGAAGGAAAGCCTGCGTGTGGATGCCCTCATCACCGCGACCACTGAGGGAAGGAGGGTCATGCTGTGCACTCAGAGAGGGCGCGCCTCGGGGAAGAAAAGGGCCACTGCGCTCTGCCTTTGGGTTACGGACAGCAACCGCACTTTTTCTTTTGGACCGGTTGCCGTGGACACTGCTGCGGATTGGATGCTCGCCAGCACCCTGCTGCACTCGGATGGCAATTTGCATCTTTTACAACGGAGGGGCAACGGTGAGGGCCGTGTCATCTCACTTTCCCGCCTGACGGAGGAACTGAGTGCAATCAAGTCCGTCCTCAGTACTTGGGCGCAAAAGGGCATTTTCTTCTCCAGCTTGTCTACACCCACGGCGGGTCTGGTGGCGGTTTTGTCCGATGCGGCCAGTGATGACACGTGGAACGACGAGTACCTTTGCCTGCATGCGACGGTGAAGGAATGCAGTGAAGGACAACGATGGGTTTCAATTGACGGGACTTGGGTCCAGGGCAATATGGCCCGTGAACACTTGGGATGATAATGTGCGTCATGTATTCTTGAGCCACAACTTCACACTTGTGGCGTCGGTGAGCATCGAAGAGACTCCGAGTGGGAACACTCCTCCACTGACTGCGGTGCTGGCGGACACTGAGTCCAATCATACCGTGGGACAGCCGTACAGCCACAATAAGGAGTGGGAGACGGCGTTCGAAGGCAAGACAACAACACGGAGCAGCACTTGGGAGCCGAGGAAGGAACACCAAGTGGCACTCACGCTGCAGGCAACAAGGCCTCTGTGCACATTGATGGTCAGTCGCTGGGGAAGGAAGAAGTGCCGTTAGCAGGCGAGAGGCCACCTGAGGTCCTGAGGGTTCGCTTTGGCGCGTGCGGTGGGCACGAATCTCATGTGACGGTGACGAACGTCTTTCTGTACAGCCGCCCACCGAATTCCACTGCGATGCGTGCACTCAAGGACAGGGTTCCCGCTCCGACGAGGGAAGCGGCTCCGACACCGCCCGAGAAGATTCGAGTAGTTGACAGCGTCAGTGAGCACGTTGCTGGGGATATTACCGAAGATAAATGAATGGGCACCACGCCCCTGGACACGAATCCCCACTACAAACAGTCACCTCGCAGGGTGTGGAGCGGCATGAGTCCCGACGACCGCCTCGCCTCTCTCAACGACGTGAAACTGACACTGCGTGATTTAGGCGGTAACAGCACCATGCGTGTGTGCGTGTCTTGTGTGCCGCTGCTTCTAATGGGATTGTATTTGGGTGGTGGCAGTCTTCTGAGCCACAGGGTGTGGATTTGCAACGCCTCACGGAGAATACATGCCGCATCGCCCGCGCATTTTTATGCCACCCTTTTTTTTCTTCAATGGTTTTACTTTTAAATGCCTTTTTAATGCAGTTCAGCTGTAGTAGTAGGTACTGTTGTTTTTTCTTTACTTAATGTCCGGTTGCTGCACACTGTAATGAGCGAAGTGTTTCCCGCTCTTGTTTGCTTTTGTTTTCGCCCACACGCGGTGCCGGCCCTGCGGCTGTGCGTCCCACGGACTGCACGAAAGGAAGATTGAGGAGAACAGGCCGGATGCCGCATGAAATGTGAAGAATGTTGTGTGGGATGCTGGAATAATGCGATCTTTCTTTTTTTTTGCTTCAAATGTTTTTTTTTTTTTTTTTTGGTGCGGACAATATGTATATACATACGGTCTCTTTGTGCTGCTCGGCACATGAAATAAAAGTCCTGCCGCATCAATTGTTCCATTAATTTTTTCTTTTTTTCTTTTGGGAGTTATGCCGGAATTCCAGCCTTTTTTTTGTTTTCTTTTTTAATCCCTGCGGTTTGTTTCTGTAGTTACCGTATCTGCTGTCACTGTGTGTCTCTGTTTCCCGTTGAGTGTCCCTTTGCTGGCTGTGCTGTTGACATACCTCCATTTATTCTTTTTTCTTCCCGCTAGGGGCATCGATGGTCCGCGACGACGATTGTTTGTGTTTCCCATTGCGATGTCACGAGGGTGACTGGGCGCCGGCCTGCTGAGTGCACTCGGAGGGTAGCGGATGGTTTGCGCCGTGCCTTATTTGTGAGTGTGAGACGCCAATCCGTCGAGAAGGGAGAAGTAAAGGACTGCGGTATGTAGTTGGATGCGTCCCGTTCCTCTCTTTGTCGCCGTGTGTGTGCTGTGCGCATGGCTCTTTACTGCGGTGCGACGTGGATGGCATTGCTTTTGTTTGTGCCCTTGTGCATGCGCTGTGCGGCGGGCTTCTCTTCCCCATGACACCACCCTTGTGTGCGGGAAAGCGGAGGGAGTGGAGATGTGTGATGGAGTGAGCGTGGCCGTTGTTTCCGCACATTTGGATCTGCCACACACGTGGCACTACTCGGCAGTCTCTTGCAGCACCCAGGCCGTGGATTGAGAGGATGTGAGGGTCTGCTCCAAGCACAAGGAGGACAACAAAATGCAGTGCGTGACGGCCAACCTGATCGGCATTTGGTTGCAGCGCATGGAGCACGTGCGCCAGTACTTGTTGGGCGTTGCACTCATGATTGGAGAGGAGGGGCGGCACGACATTGTGGCGCTGTGTGTGTTGTGGCGGCCGGGGCATGCCGGCGATTGTGAGGGACGTGGAGGACACGGAGCTGTTGGACTGAGGGAGGAGGTGGCGGACGTTGCGGCGCAGCGGGAGCGCATGACGGACTGCGTGTGGTGGGAGGTCCCGACGATCCCGAGGCCTGTGCTGGAGGGGCGCGTGTTGAAGTGAGCGTGGCGTGCCTGTGAGGGACTGAGGAGAGGGAATAACAGTAACAGTGACTGTGGGAGTGTGAGGAACGGTGCACGGGGCGAGGAGCGCTCCCTTTTTTTCTTTTGTTTTGATTGTTGTTGAACCGCACCGACCCAATTGCTGCTGTGGTGCCGCTATTTGTTACAGTGCGGTGGCTGTTTGACTTGTCTCTCTCTCCTCTTTTTGCTTTCACTCTGCGTTGACGTGTTGTTAGTTTGTGCTGAAGGCAACACGCAAGTGACAGGAGTGATGGCGATGATGATGACTGGCCGTGTGCTGCTGGTGTGTGCCCTCTGCGTGCTGTGGTGCGGTGTCTGCGGTGGAAGTGTCGACGATTTGGATGTTGACGGTAAAGCCGGCGGTTCTTCGAGTGGTGGTGAAGATACGCTGGGATCGCCAAAACCTTTACCGCCAGAACCAGACCTCTCGGACTCAGAAAGAAATCAACCAGAGCATCAGGGAAACGCGTCACCATCCCGAGCTACAGGTGAAGTTCTTGGAGATGATAGTGTTGAGGAAAAGAAAAAAGATAATGATTCGAATGATGATGATGATGACAGTGAAGAATCAGAGCTACCTCCACCACCAGCAATAGGAGCTTCAGGAAAAGAAGACACCAAAAAATCACTTATTACTTTACCACAAGTATCTGGTGTTGGCGGTTCTGCCGGTGGTGGCGGCGGCCCAAGTGGAAATCCGAACAGAAGCGGTGATGATGTGTTGAGTTCTTCCGCTCTTATTTCTGCTCCTCCACCCTTCATTTCCACTGGTAGCAATGGTTCACAGACCGTTATTGGTGTGTCATCCACTCAGCAGATGGAATATTCAAAAGAAAGTGCGAATTTATTAAAAAAACCTGCAGAGGACATACCGTCCAAAGTGTACCCACAAGAGAAGCCAGCACCCAATGCTCGAGAAGTTTCCTCCACTCAACGAGTGACGACAAAAAGTCAAGTTGCTGGTAAGGACACAACTGGAAAAGATGAGGCGCAGAACGGCAATGTAGCAAACAACCCTTCCGGCAAACAAACAGGACAAATGGCGTTACAAAAACCACAGACACAACCAATAAAAGTAACAAAAGATCCAATATCACCACTACCACCAACAGAGAAATCACCAGCACCAACAGTTAAAGCAGAAAAAGAAGGCCCACCGGCAACAACAGGCTTCCAGACCTCAACAGAACAGAAGCAAGAAGGATCACCGTCACAAACCGAAACGCAGCCAAAAGAAATGAAACAGTCTTCAACAGATGGTGGGGGAAAGCAAAAAGGAAAAGACACAGTCTCATCGGATTCGATGACGAATGCAGTTACCGACACTTCAGCAGAAACAAAATCATCATCCATCTCTACAAGTGGAAGTGGCATTGCCCAGGAAAAGGAGGTTGAGGATGATGACGATCCTCAACGGCCTAACAGCAAAGAACCACACAAGGACCCCGAAGCTCATAATACCAACGTTGCTCCCACAGCCAGTGAAAATGCACCACAAACAGTGAAAACAGTCACAGCCCAAACAAAAGGTACGGCAACGCCTGGCGACAGTGACGGCAGCACCGCGGTCTACCACACCACCTCCCCTCTTTTGCTTCTTCTTGTTGCGTGTGCTGCTGCGGTGGTGGCCGCGTGAGAGTGAGGGAGAGAGAGCCGCGCACCGCCCGCACACACACTCGTCTTTCACTCTCTCTCTGTGTGTGTCCCCTTGCATGGACTCTCGCCCTCACCTCACCCCACGAAGCACACACATAATGTGCTCATTGTATATATGCATGTACACCCATGCAGGCCCGTTGGTGCTCTCTTTTGCACCACACGCACCGCTGCCGTCCTGCCTGGCTGCATGGGCGGAGCACCGTAACTTTTTTTGTTTTGTTTTTATTGCATTGAGTGGGCGACCTCTCTTTCTCTCTCCCCCTGTGTGTGTGTTTTGCTTTACGGGAGCAATGAGAGTGTGTGTGCTGGTCGTCCCACGCTTCGGCTTTTTGTTTTATTGTTTTGCCTTATTGTGGTTGGGTGCACCCATTCCACTTTTCTTTGATTGGTGGCTTGCTTTGACTGCGGAAACTTTAATCTTCTTTTGTTATTCACATATCGTTTTTTTTTTTTGTTTTGAAGTGTCAGCCTCTTTTGTCCTTGTGAGGCCACTAAGTTTTTCCTTCGACATACGCCATGCGTCAGTTGGTCCACGTTAACCCGTGGCTTGCAGCGCTGCTGGTGCTGCTTGTGGTGATGCCTGTGAAGTGATTGCTAGCGGATGCTTTGTTGTCACCCTGACGCATCCCTGCTTTTTTCTTTTCGATGCCGTGCGTACCGACGGCGCGTGGGCGGCTCCGGTTGTGGTGAGGGTCGTGCCTCTCAGCGCAGGATGTGTCGCAGGTGTACGGCTTCGTTTGTAAGAACCGATGGACGCTTGTCCGCATCAAGACGTCAAGAAGGATCCCTGATGAGAGCAGGAGGCACTGCGGCTTCTCCTGGCCCCAGCGATGGGGTCCGCACCTTGTCGCGGTGCTGGGGCTCTGGTTGCATGTAGGAACTCCGCAGCAGGGCGTTGTTGCGAGCACGACGGAGACCAAGACGACTTCACCCCTCGAGAAGGTTCCGCGCCATGCTCGGTGCGGGGAGGTGAAGCGGTCTGCCTGCAGGCTGTCGGACAAAACTGCACGACCGTTTCGCAGCGATCGCTCCGTTGATATCACCCGTTGCGGTGAACTCCACAAGAACTCTGGCACCGAGGAGGATGGCTACATCACTATTTGGCAGCGTAACATTGCAAGCCTCTCGTCCGTAAAAAAGATTGCATTTGCTGCGCGGTTGGAGCGGCATCAAACTGACATCGTTTTTTTTCCAGGAAATAAATGACCGTAGCAACGTAGCGACAAAAGTTTCTGGCTGCAATGACTTTCTTCAGGCCTGCACTGGGCGCAGTGGTGGCGTTGCCATTCTGGTGCGCCACTGTCTACCGTGCGAGCGCCTGTCGCTCCCTGGCACTAACTGCCTGGAGACCACCGCCTTCCGCGTGTGCCCACCGGCCTGCCCCAGCATGTACGTGGTGCAATTATGCAGCCTTCCCACGGCAATTGCCCACGCTGCTCACTTTGCGGGCACTATTCGTCGCCCTGTTCCTGCAGAGCCCATTGCTGGCGTCCTGAATCTACACGATGAGCTGCGGGACGGTTGCTCACCATCCACGACGGCAGGAGAGGACCTCGCCGCCACCCCAAGCGGCATGGACTCTGAGCTGTCCGACGACCCGGCACGGACAACGCGGACCAGCGGCCGCAGCGTCTTGTTTCCCGACGTGACTGCGCAACGCGTACTGCGTGTCTCCCACTAAACGTCCGCCAGTTTGGACTCGGACCACCATCTGCCATCCCACACTGCAGGGACGGAGGACGACATCCCGCAACTGGCACGCATGCTGCCACGACGGAAACATGTCGCTGTTGTCCTGCGTGAAATCGACTGGAATGCATCCACCTCGGCGTGTGCAACGCCTCTGGCCACTGTGACCACATGGTTGGAGATGCGCAAATGCACCGTACCGCGCGGCAGCCGTGAAAGCCCCACATGTATCTGGACGGACGGAATGGAGCATGCCGAGTGTGTTGCAGCGGCAGCATGGAACGCGCACACAGCCTCAGAAGGAGGCAGCCTGCCCCGAGCTGAAGTGCTCCGCAAACGGGAGTACTGCAATCATGCCCTCCGTCGTGGCTTCTCCATGCAGCTAGAGTTCCGTGCGAAACAGCTTGGTGCCCTCTCGAGCCCAGACCTGTGATACCCCGAGGCATGGCGGCACCACGTCCCCGCTCACTGGGATCGGCTGTGCTGCGGTACTGTTGGGACTGCGTCTGTGCACTGCCTCGGCAGCAGGCAGACCCGCGCGTCCGTCACACTGTCTGAGTCTCGCGTGCTGCGATCCCCGCTGTGGTCTGCACACTTGTGCTTGCGTGCTTCCTGAAAACTGGAATATGGATTGGCCCTTCACGCCGTATGCGCCTGAATTAGCCATCCGCGACTCCTTGCCTGGCTTGACCCCTGTCCCCGGCAGTGTATTGAATACGTTTCTGCGCCATCTTGTACCCGCTGCCCACTGCTCGCTCAGAAAGATGATCAACACCTCTCTGATGGCAGCCTGCGAGGTTCCTGGGAAATGGAATACACCACTCCCATCCGCAAACACGGGAAAGACGCATCCGCTCAGAGAGTTGTCGGCAAATCCCGCTGCTCCCTATGCTGCTAGGGGTGAGCGGAGGACTGGTCCACCGCCGCCTGTCAGCACTGCTGGCACACCACCGATGTCAGCCTGTATCCACGCCACGACGCACGACCCCGGACGTGGTGACGCCTGTCCGTGACGAAACGGCACGATGGCTGAGCGAGTGTATCGCCGCGGAGTGCAAGCTTTTCATGTCACTACCGTAAATGTCAAGCGTATCAACGAGCAAAAAACGGACAAAGCGCCTCTGCAAGCTCCAATGACAACCATAGCCCTTCAGCCACTCCGCTGCTGCAACCACCACCAGCCGCTGAGCCGCCTGACGGTCCACGGGAGGCCCTGCCGCACATGCTGTGGGATAACCCCTCTCGCACGACAGCACCGTTTTGGGCGGAAAACCTGGCCACGTTTCTACGGACAGTCCTCAGCCTATCAGCGAATAGTGGCCGCAACGTATAACAAAAAGAAAAATTTCATTTATTCTCAGTAGAAAAAAACTTCATCGTTACAGTCACAATTTTCACACAATGAATCCATTGCGTAATGCCGCTCTGAGCTGCAATACTTCCTGGCATCATCCAGGTCCCTTGTCGAAATATTGATGCAGATAGTCGCCCATCCATTCCTCCCAATGACGGTGTATGCCTGCGACGCACCCTCTGCTCCAAAATGACACGTCATTCGCCACAGCCGAGATCGACTTGGCGCTGGCGGCACGCATCGCCTTGTCAGAGGGAGAAAGGGTACGTCAGGGTGACAGCAAAGCACCCGCATGCACAACACATCGCAGACATCATCACAAGCAGAAGTAACAGCAGCGCTGGTGGCTGCGGGGTGACGTGGATCAACTGACGCATGGCACGCGCATAGAAAACTTAGTGGCCCGACAAGAATACAAGAGGGTGACACTTTTGAAACAATGAAACAATATGAGAATATAAGAAGAGAAGATTAAAGTGTCCGCTGTCACAGCATGCCGCCGTTCAAAAGTAAAATGGGTGCACTCAACCACAACAAAAGAAAGCAAGAAGCCGAAGCGTGGGACGACCAGCGCACACACTCTCATTGCTCCCGTAAAGCAAAACACACACACACACAGGGAGAGAGAGAGAGAGAGGTCGCCCACTCAATGCAATAAAAACAAAACAGAAACAGTTACGGTGCTCCGCCCATGCAGCCAGGCAGGACGGCAGCGGTGCGTGTCGTGCAAAAGAGAGCACCAACGGGCATGCATGGGTGTGCATGCAATATATACAATGGGCACATTATGTGTGTGCCTCGTGGGGTGAGGTGAGGGCGAGAGTCCATGCAAGGGGACACACAAACAGAGAGTGAGTGAAAGACGAGTGTGTGTGAGGGCGGTGCGCGGCTCTCTCTCCCTCACTCTCACGCGGCCACCACCGCAGCAGCACACGCAACAAGAAGAAGCAAAAGAGGGGAGGTGGTGTGGGAGACCGCGGTGCTGCCGTCACTGTCGCCATTTGTCGCCGTATCATTTGTTATAGCAGTGACTGTTTTCACTGTTTGTGGTGCAGTTTCATTTGCTGTTGGAGCATCGTCGGTATTTCTATCTTCAAGCCCGTCTTGTGGTTCTTTTCTGTTAGGCCTTTGAACACTCTTTTCAAACTTGTCCTCTTTTTTCTGGGTTCCATCACTCCCACTTGTGGATACCAATGGTGCTGGTGTTTCTGCTGGATGACTTGTAGTTGCATTATTCATGGAATCCGGTTGGTCCGTGTCTTCTCTGTGTTGGTTTGGCTCACCATTCACTGCAGATGTTTCCGCTGCTTCAGGCGCCGTTTTACTGTGCGACGGTGACGTCGTGCTTGTTGTTTCTGTTGCGTTCTGCGAGACTTTTGGTGCTGTCGGGTTTGTTTCTTCTGCTGAAACGGTCATCGCTGGTGATGGCTCTGTTTTTATTGGTTCTGGTGTTAATACTTATTTGACTTCTGGTTCTATCAATGCCGGGAGATCACTGTTGTTAGGGGACAACCCGGCATTCTGCCCGGAATTATCTTTTCCCCCGTTCGCAGTTCCACCGCCACCACCATTAGTGATAACTTCCTTTTCTGGTGCATCGAGCAACCGTTCTTGCGGAAGGGAATCAAGTGCTTCTGCTGGATTCACTTCAGTCGGCGATGCATCTTGAGGCGGTGATTGTGACTCTTCCTGTTTTCCTTTGGAGGCCTCTTTTTCCGGGCGTAAATGTTCCTCAGCGAGATTTCCACCCTCATCCTCATCAAGAAGGAGAGCTGGTGATTCTTCCCCCGAAGCAGAAACCAAAGGTTCACTTTTACTTTCATTAGAACTATCAGCCTTTGAACCTCCACTGCCACCATCACTCCCATCTGCGAGAGAAGATTGAACACCACCACCAGGATCGCCAAGAGTTACGGGACCACCAGCAACAACAT